AGTTTTTCCACCAATATATTTTGTCTTCCAGGCTCCAATCTAGGATACCATGTTGCATTTAGCATACCTTCAGTTTTGAGCCTTGCATTTTTCTCAATGAACAATGTATCTTGGAAATGGTTTCATATCAGCAAATGTAAATGTGGCTCCCTTTAAACCTAGCTGCGTAGTATTCCATGGTGTGCACACGAATTATATAACTCCTTCTCTTCTGACATGATTTAGGCTGTTTCCTAGGTATGGCTTTTTAGTTATTCGTGTACATAGGTCTTTGCACACACTTGTGAGTGCATTTGCCGAATGGGTTCCCAGAGGGAGAATCAGGAGGTCAAAGGGGTGAGAGTGTTACATTTTAGTGACTAAGCCAACCTGCCCTCATGTAAGGAGTATAAACAACAGTGGATGTAGTCAGAGGTGTGTGCCTGCTTGATTGCTAGTACAGTTTATTCTTTCCATTCTATAATCTTAGATGGGTCAAAGAGAGACTGACCCGGTGGGGCAAGAGAGGGAGATAAGCCTGGGCAGGTGGCAAGGAGACAGGCCATAAGGGCCCCTTGGTGCCAGACAGAGGTGCTGGATGTTGTCCTGAGGGCACTGTGGAGCCATGGAGGGTTAGAGGCTGGATCAAGCCATGGACAGATGTGGTCATGTAGAGATGTGGTAGGAAGAGCCATCAAATGGCTACCTCTCCCTTAAACAGTCCTGAGAGCCTCACCTGGCCCTCATCTCTCTGTTTCCCTCTCACCTACAGGAGCAGGCATCTGAGTGGAGGGGTGGGGGCAGACATACCTGTTTTGCTAGGTGAGGTCTGCCTTGACCAGGCCACACTGCTGCCAGTCTGGCTGAGTGAGCCACATTCTGCAGGTATGTGACCAGATGGAGCCAGGGAAGGCAGTGACATATCTGGGACAGAGGTGGAAACCAGCCTCCCTGCCCTCCCAGAGGCCAGCTCAAGCTCCAGGCCCCAGCATTTGGCAGGGCCTGACCTGTTTTCACTACTCAGGTAAAATTTGAAAATGTTTAGCAGAATCATTCTTTCTTCAGTGCACATCTCACATCCCACGGTGACATTTTGATTCACATTTATTTATTGGTCTGGGAGGACAGCAATAATCATCATAGAATATTCGGAAAATACCAAAATGTCCAAGGAATGAAATAAAAATCCCCTGCACATATCTCCTCTTCCTTCATAACCAATGACAACCTTGGGGGACTTTGTTTTACAATTTTAATGCTAATGTGCACATATTTATATTTTTATCAGAAAAGTAATCATAGGGGCACTTGGGTGGCTCAGTCTGTTAAGCGTCTGCCCTTAGCTCGGGTCATGATCCCAGGGTCCTGGGTTCGAGCCCCACATTGGGCTCCCCGCACAGTGGAGAGTCTGCTTCTCCCTCTCCCTTTGCCCCTCCCCCTGCTTGTGCTCTCTCACGCCCTCTGTCAAATAAATAAAATCTGAAAAAAAAGAAAAGCAATCATACTTAGCATGCTCTTTTGTAATCTTTTTGCATTGAATAATTTCCGAAGTATTTTCCCATGACAAATATTCTTTTGCACTGTGATTTTTAAGGGAAAACCTGATTTTATGCATACCAATCTCCATTAATTCCACAAACACTCTTTAAAGACCCTCAGATAAAAAGTATCATTAACTCTAATGTACGCTGAGCCCTTGGGTTGCATCCCTCAGCAAAAGCACGAAGCATATTCAAGTGTGACTTTACTGTTTAAAGTACAAGTATGGGAGTCACCTTGGTGAGTCAGCCTCTGTACATTAGGTATGGTGGAGCCCAGACATTTGCAAGTGGGACTCACGCAGCCTCAGCGGATGTGTATTTCTGCACTTGATTCTGATTACACAGAATGGAGAAAATTCCTGATTCACAATAAAAAGTTCTGTTAGTTTCTGAACTCTTAGAATGAATGGGGCCCTATGCCCCGAGGCAGGGATTGTTGGAATCCCCATTTCACAGAGGGGCACACTGTGGCTCAGACAGTGTGGTGGGGCTTGTGAGAAGCTGGTGAGGCCTCTTTGCCTCCTTCAGAGACTCTGAGTCACAGACGAGGTCACTGTGAACTTGCTCATGACCTGAATGTGAAAGATTAGGCCAGAATCCCCCCTTTTCCTTGACACGTTTACAAGGCAGTCAAATATGTGCACAGGATCAGGGAGATTTTCATTCCAGAGCCTGCAGGAAAGCCAGTTACGTCAGTTAACTGGGAGCAGCTCTTGTGTGTTAAATATGGTGTGTAGGGGCGCCTGGCTGGCGCAGTCCGTTAAGGTGTCTGACTCCTGATTTCAGCTCAAGTCATGATCTCCGGGTGGTGGGATCAAGCCCCGAGTCGGGCTCCTTGCTCAGCACAAGTCTGCTTGTCCCTCTCCCTCTGCTCCTCCGCCTGCTCACTTGTGCTCTCTCCCTCTCTCTCTCTTTCAAATAAATAAATAAATAAATAAAATCTTTTAAAGAATAAAAATAAATAAATAATGGTGTGTATCACATCTACATGCTATTTTAAAATTTTGGCTTGCAAAGTAAACTATATGTTGTTCAGTACTTTAGAAACCACTTTTCTTGTTTTTGAAAAATAATAATCTTTATACAAAGTTTCTCAAACATTATAAAGATATGTATGGAGTCCTTCATGGGGAAGATATATATGATTTTTATAAAAATGAGATCAGTTATGTATCCCCTTCCTGCTCCTTGCCTTGTTTACTTAACAACAGATCAAGATGATCTATGACGCATCTATACCCTAGAATGCGTTACAACAGTAAAAAAGAAAAACAAAAAACCAGAGGTGAATGTCATAAATACTGACATGAAAATTGACCATAACATATAGTTAGGTAAAGAAAGCAAGTTACAAAGCAATATTTTAAAGCATGATTCTATTAAGCATGTGCTTGTGCTTATGTAAATATCTATAGATGTGTCAATATAAACTTTTGAGGGGCGCCTGGGTGGCTCAGTCGTTAAGCGTCTGCCTTCAGCTCAGGTCATGATCCCAGGGTCCTGGGATCGAGCCCCGCATCGGGCTCCCTGCTCGGCGGGGAGCCTGCCTTTCCCTCTCCCGCTCCCCCTGTTTCTGTTCCCTCTCTCGCTGTGTCTCTCTCTGTCAAATAAATAAATAAAATCTTTAAAAAAAATATAAACTTTTGAAAAGCCAAAAAGGACATTCATCATGTGTTAATTATTCTGGGGGGGGGGTTGGACCAGATTTGGGGAGGTGTGGTGTGGGGAATGAAATATGGGACGTTTCCATTTCTAAATTTTTATAATCTCTAAGCAGAAGGGTTATGAATGATTTTGGTTTTTTTTTAAGTATTCTTTTTTTTCCATTTCCATTTTTTCGCATTTTTTAAAACATTATTCTAAAAACATTGGCCCATTTCTTTAAAAAGAAAAGACCAGCCCTGAAAATGTATCTACAAGAATAAAAGTACTGCATGTGGTTTGCAAGTTTTTCTACTCGGCATCTCTTGGAGATTTCTCCATGTTAGAACAGTACCTTTTACTACTGTGCGGTATTCTAGACTACAGACGTAGCATAGCTAACTTAACTGGTCCCCTACAGAGGCTCATTTAGGTCACTGTAATGAACATCTTTATATATACTTTCCAATTATTTATGCCATTATGACATCTTTTTGTATTGGCTCACATAGTTCCATCTTCTTCTTAAACAGCCACAGAGAATCCAGGCCAAGGATAGAACATGAGCCGTACAACCCACTCCCTGCTGAGGGATGTTTCCAATTCTTCACCCTAACAAAAAACCCCTTTGACCATTACAGATTTTTAAAAGTATATTTTAAGGGGCCCCTGGGTGACTCAGTTGGTTGAGCATCTGCCTTTGGCTCAGGTCATGATCCCAGGGTCTTGGGATGGAGCCCCGCATCGGGCTCCCTGCTCAGCGGGAAGCCGGCTTCTCCCTCTCCCACTGCCCCTGCTTGTGTTCCCTCTCTCGCTGTGTCTCTCTGTCAAATAAATAAATAAATAAAATCTTTAAAAAAATAAACAAAAGTGTATTTTTAAAAAGCTGAAATCTAAATTCAGCTTTTGCAGACCATCTGCAGACCAGTGGAGTAAATGGGGACCCTGAGAAACATCATCTGGTTGGGAAGGAAGCCAGGCCCTCTTGGCAGGGCCTAATTGCTATAAAATGGACAGAGGTTGGCCTGCTTGAGTGAGGACAACAGTGAGGATGAAATTCCTAGAGTGTTTGCTGTCATGCATCCATTAGAGACTTGCTGGAAGCTACAGCCCCTCGAAGGAGGCTATCTGCCACCTGTACCAGCCCAACAGCCCTGCACTCTAATTTTCCTTTGATGAATCACCCCCACTTCCCAACACCATCCTTAGCAGCAGTAATAATTCAGGTACCCTCCTTTCCCCAACCAAAGGATGGGCCCAGATGCTAAGATAGTGAGATTGAATCCTCAACCTTGGCTCAAGCTGTTGGGAGAGAGGCCTCTCCTGCTGCTCCGTGGCTTAGCTATCAAGATGTAAGTCTGGCGTTGCCAGAGGAATCCTGCCTGAGAATGAAGCAGGTTTCCTGGAAACTTAGATTGAACTCCTGGATCTAGACGTGCCTGAAGCCAATGTTGACTCAGTTACACGAGTCAAGAAGTTCCATGTTATGTTTCAGTCAGTGCCAGTTGGGTTTCTGCCACTTCCATTCTTGTTCATTCGCCTTTGCCCCAGAAGAAAACAAATTAATTCATTCAACCAGTATTTATTGAATATCGATGCTCCTCCCTCTGCTGGGTGATGCTGGGGACAATAAAGTGACCACGACAGAGCTTGTCCCTCCCCTCATGGCAATCTCCGTCAACCAGAGAATAAACAATCACAAACTACTTAGCAAAAATGGCAGCACCTGCCATGAGGGAGGAGCTCGGGGAGCTACAACAGAGGCATTGGTGATGTGGGTAGTGGGATCTGGGAAGGGTCCCTTGAGCACAGGACTTTAAGCTGACACTGAAAGATGCGCCAGGAATCAGCAGAGTGAAATGAGGTCAAGGGCTAAGGGTCCCTGTACACATGTCCAAGGGCTTCAGGGCACCCCCAAGTCTCAGCAGGGCTCAGAAAGTTGGTAAAAGAGAGAAGGAAGAGGTAAAAGAGAGGAAGGAGGGAAGGTTAAGGGAGGTGGGAAGGGGAGAAGTGAGGCAGGCATCCAGACCTCAGCCGGAGGAAACCGGAACGGGAGAAGGAGGAGGCGGCCGAGGTGTGCACGTAGCCTCCCCTCCTTTTTCCTCACAACGTGGTGTAGAAATACATGGCTATCAGCATCACAGGGAGCTGGATGAGGAGGCAGTCAGGTGAGGGGCGCTCCAGCCCCACACCCACATCCCCCCCTCGCCCACAGGCTTCCCGCCTCTCACCGTCCACATCAGGATGGCAAACCCAAACCATGAGATACCCCACGTGTAGCTGTCGATGGCATGGCCGATGTGCTCGAAGCAGCCCTGGGCGGGGGGGGGGGGGGGGGGACAGGGGTTTGAGAAAATGCCCAGTAGGGCTAGCACTGAGGGAGAGTCCCTGCCTTCCCCTCAGCCATGCAATGGGGATTGTGGCAGTGTCTACCTCCCAGAATGGTTTTTGGGGAGCCAGGGATGTGATGTTGAACCCAGGCCCCAAGCAAGTAGGTACTACCCTGGCGGTGGCTATGACAGTCTGAGGGCGATTTTGTGCAGAGCTGGCTTTCCACACTGCCCACAAGTTCCAAGGGTTTGAAATCTGCCTTTAGGAGCAGTGCAGTTTTGATACGTCCCCATTTAGGAAGGAGGCCAAGTGGGGCCTGAGCCTCACAACAGAGTCACCTTCAGGTAGACCCCTGCCTCCACTTGGAAGCAGCCACGAACAAAGGTTGAGGGTGCGCGTCCTGGAGTCAGGCGGGACCGAGTTGGGGGCCATCCCCGCCATTTGTTAGCTGTTAGGGCCTGGGAATGATTCTGGCTCTCTGAGCCTCAGTTTGCCCATCTGTGAGGTGACAATCTTGACAGCACTGGCCTCTGAAAGTGGTCGTGGGGAGTCCATGAAATGACGCATGCGTGCACTCTGCACAGAGTTGGGCTTCAGAAGTGGCCGTCTGGCTCTGATAGCCGTCATGCTTGGCGCAGGTCCCCTCCCTGTGACACCTGATCTAAGACATGTGGCTGAAGGGCCCCTAGGCAGCCGAAAGCAGCCAGAGGGACCGTTGGAACTGGTTCTCCTCCTAGTCTAACCTCCTCTGGTTTCTCTCTCTGCCTCTGCACTCACCTTGCACTGGTTAAAGCTCCTGAAATCCAGTTCCAGCTCCATCGCTCACTAGAGAGTGAACTCAGTTTCATCATCCTTAAAATGGGCTCATTAATAATATTGCACCTCACAGGCCGTGGTGGGAATTAAATAAGACAAAGACTTAAAGCCCTTAGAAGAATGCCGGGAACGACATAGAACGACGAAGAACGACATAAAGGCTCAATGAACGTTGTTACTAAGGCGGGCATGCTATTGCTATGATTCCTGTTGCTCTTCTTCCCAGACGACCTGAGAAAAGTGGCAGGTGCCAGCTCAGGATCAGACAGACCCTGGGCCTCCCAGTGACTTGCAGAGGGAGCAGGGGAGAGAGTTGAGAGAGCCGGAGAGACGGGAGAGAGAGAAAGAAGCCAGAGGGGGGAGGAGGAGAAGAAAGTGGGAGGGAGGCTGAGAGAGAAGGACCAGAGGGGCTGGACCGATGCACAGACAGGGGAGTGGCAGTGAGCGGACACACCTTGGTGAACAGGTAGTCTGTGTGGCCCAGGCGGCAGCCTTCTGCACTGAGGGGGATGAAGTTGCCAGTCCGCCGACAGCACAGTGGGGGCCAGGGGAACACCACCTCCGGGGTGGCTGCCCGGAAGGCTGATGTGAAGTTCACCCAGTCCATGGGCCCGGATGTGCCACAGCACTCTTGCTGGAGAGAAGCGGGGGGAGGATCAGGCAGGCTCTGGCTCAGAGAGGACAGCCACTCGCCTGAGGTTCCAGAGTGAGGAAGGGGCCGACTTCCCCATGTCCTGGGCCTCGAAGTGGGGGGCGGGCAGTGTCTGTGCGTGTGAACAAGGAGCAGAAGATATTTGTCCCAGCACCAAGAGGCTGATGGGGGTTTGAGTCAAACCCACACTTGTGACTCATTTTAAAATTCTTTTGAATTAGCTGTCAACAAAATCTGAGGTAAATGACACCAAAAAAAGGATTTCTGGCTTTTTTCTGGCCCCTGTGCGTGTACAACTAGTGGCCCTGAATGATGAAAACATTGGCTCCTTCACGTATGAGTTCCAATCCTGGCTAGTGGTATGACTTGAAACCAATTGGGACCTTACTTCCCCTTGGGTCCTCAATATTCTCTTCTGCCATATCACGTTGGGTTTAATTAAGAATGTGGCTTCTGGGGCACCGGGGTGGTGCAGTCACTTGGGCATCTGACTCTTGGTTTTGGCTCGGGTCATGATGGGTCATGATCTCGGGGTCGTGGGGTCGGGCCCCATGTTGGGCTCCGCATTTGGCACGGAGTCTGCTTGAGACTCTCTCTCCCTCTCCCTCTGCCCTTCCCCACCCCCCGCACATGTGCATGCTCTCTCTCTCTTTCACTCAAATAAATAAGTGAATCTTAAAAAAAAAAAAAAAAGAATGTGGCTTCTGGAAGCTGGTGGCCTGGGTTTGAATCCTTTTGGTTCTGTGACCTACTAGATGTGTGACCTTATGTAAGCCACTCAAACTCTTACCTTGGTTTCTTCATGGCTAAAAAGCTGATCTCCCTTATGGGGTGGTTGTAAGGATTAAATAAGCTTTAAAAGTGCTTCCAACAGTACTAAACAAAAGTTAGTGCTCATTAAATGTTCATTATTATGATTAAGAAGGTATCTGTAATGGTCAAGAACAGAGGCTCTGGATCCAGGCTGTCAGACTTTGATCCCAGCTTACCAACCATGTGACACTGGGCAAGTGATGTTCCCTTTTCCCTTTTCTGGGCCTGTCTACTCATCTGGAAAATGACCATGACCAGCCTCGCCCCCCAGAAGAACCACAGGAGTGGGTATCATCTACCAGTGGGCATAATGGGAGGCCCCTAGCTACCTCTGTGGTCAGAGCCCCAGGTCCTCCAGCCCTCCCTCCCCCCTCACCACCTCATCTCCTCATCCCCCCGCCTTGTCTACCTCAATCATGACACGGTCCCAGAGGCGAGTCAGTTCCTGGCCCTGGTCTGTGTCTGCACTGTAGAAGGTCAGCATCTGCTTGGTAATCAGGGATGGGTTGGACACCATCTGTGGAGGTCCAGGAAGAACAGGGTCCAGTGGGGCCGTGTGGTGGTGGGGGAGTCGACCGCCACTCCATCCCCAGACTCAGACCCAGATCCTTGCCACTCTTGCCCCAAGTCATGCCCCTCCCCTGGCCTTTGCCCAGCTCACATAGTCACGATGAGTGTAGGACGTGATGCAGGAGGCGCACTCAAAGATGTAGACGATGAGCATGAGCACCAGGTACTGGGGAGAGATGGAGGAGAGACAGAGGGACCCCCCAGTCAGGGCAAAGCCTGCAGAGCCACACCCCCTCAAGGAAGTGGAGGACAACGTAAATGGTGGCATCTATGTGGTGGGTGTACAGGTGTTCCCTGTTCAAGGCTTTCACCTTTTCTGTATGTTTGAAATTTTTTTCTAACAAAATGTTAGGGAAAAAATGAAATCAACAAAATATGTAAAGTATTGCCTGAAATTACTATTGGTCTGGACGCAGTAAAATAAATAACTACTATAGGAAAAAAAAAGACATTCTTGAGACAACCAGAGACGTTTGAACACAGACTAGGTACTGCAACATAGACATGAAGGAACTTGGGTGAATTTTGTAGGGCTCAACGGTGGCATGGTTGTTACGCATAAAAACAAAACAAAAAAAAGCTCTTTCCTTGCCCCTCACCCTCTCCCTTAAAGCAACAGGGGGTGGAATGGGGATATGCCAACACCTCTGCCAAAAGTTAAGATGATGTGGCACAACACGCCTGACTGCTCTCAACAACGTCCTTATCACTCAGAGAAACGTGCACTCAAGTATTTACAGGTAAATGATTTGGTGTCTGGAATGCACTTCAAAATACCCCAGAAAGAACAATGTGGGTAGGCAGAGGGCGGAGCCGAGGGGACCAAGTTGGCTGGGCTGTGCTGTGGTCGATATTGTTGAAACCAGGTGATGGGTACGCAGAGTTCATGCCATTCCCTCCACTCTATGCTTGAAATTTCCCATAATAGATTTTTTGTTTTTAAATTCCGTGTCTTAGTTAATGACAAACCAATAGGGGAGACAGACACAGACACAAACCTTTTTTTTTTTTTTAACTGGTTGGCTGAGCTTTTAGGGCTTTGGTTAAACTGTTATGTCAGAGAATTACATGCAGGAAAGAAAGCAAAAGAGAAGGAAAAGACCCTTTCCAAGGCTCCATCTTACTCCCAGTAAAGCCAAAGTCCTTATCAAGGCTGGCAAGACTCGACTGATAGGCCCACCTTCCCCTTCCTGCCCTCATCCTCCGTGCCCACCGCCCATGGTACCCCCCTTCCCTCCGCCCTCATTGCCTCTCCCTCATCCCCACCCCCTCTTGGCTCTGGCCACACTGGACTCCTGGCTCCCTCTTGCTGTTCCCTCCCCCAGGAATGCTCTTCCTGCAGACACAAGGCGCACTCCCTCACCTCCCCCAGGCCTTCCCTTTCTCTGGCTGCAGGCCTCCCCTCCCACTTCTCCAGCTCCAGATCTCCCTTCCCTCCTCACTGTCCACTGTCGCATTGGGGGCATCCTACCCTTAGGGCAAGGGCTTTTCTGTTTTCTCTCTAGATAGCCCCAGTGCCTAGCGCAGGATTTGGCCCATGGTTCTTGCTCCATCAACATTTGTTGATTGAATAAGCAGCTGCTCCTGGGAATCTAAGAGGCCCTCAATTGTGGACCACGCGCAATGTTGGCTCTATGTCGGGTGGCCAGGATCGGAACCCCTGCCTTCCCTATCACCTGGGCTGTTGGCTTCTTTGAGACCCAATTTTCCTGTCTGGTAAATGGGTAGAGAAGCACTAATTCCAGAGAGCTGCTGGGGACACTGAGGGAGCTCATTTTCTGAACTGCTTAGCCTAGTGCCAGGCACATGAGCCGTCCTTGGGAAGTGTGGGTTCTTGCTGTGGTGGTTATCACTGGCAGAAATGAAGAGCAAGGGGGTGCCTGGGTGGCTTAGCCGTTAGGCGTCTGCCTTCAGCTCGGGTCATGGTCCCGGGGTCCTGGGATCGAGCCCCGCATCAGGCTCCCTGCTCAGCGGGAAGCCTGCTTCTCCCTCTCCCACTCCCCCTGCTTGTGTTCCCTCTCTCGCGGTGTCTCTCTCTGTCACATAAATAAATAAAATCTTAAAAAAAGAAAAAGAAAAAGAAATGAAGAGCAAGGCTCAAGCTGAACTGCTCAGGTTTAAATCCAGCCGTCACCCACTCGCTGTGCAACCCTGGGTAAGTGATGTCACTTCTCGGAGCCTCAGTTTCAACTCTGTCAAATGGGCTCACCATGCTGACGGTACCTCCTGGCGGGCTGTGAGGAGTAAACGCACCCATCCATGTAAAGCATTTAGAATATAATGAGCACTCCTGAAATGGCAGCTGTGCTATTATTATTGTTGTTGTTGTTGTTTTGACAGAGCTCATGTGCACAGACTCTGGGGATCAACTAGCTGAGGCTCGCATCTCAGTCCTGCCACTCAAGAGCCGTCCTCCGGGGCAGAGCACCCTTCCCTTCCTCTCTGTGCCCCAGCTTTCTCTGTAGATTGAGGGTAACAGCTGAGCCTGCCTTACTGGGTTATGGAAAGATGAAATAGAGTGACTGCCACGAGGCCCGAGTGCGGCACACGCTGGACACACACTCGCGGCTCTGCCAGCCGCGCTTGGGGTGACTGTGGTGACCATCCCCGTGCCCGCCCGGCCCCATGCCCTCCCCCTGGGGCCTCACCGTGAGGATCATGGGCCGGCGGCGGCACAGTGCTGCGCCCACCCCAAAGCTGGCCACCACGAAGAAGGAGAAGCCGCAGAAGATGGCGATCCAGGCGCCAGCGAAGACGTCATCCTTGCCCGAGACGCCCATCAGTGGGTAGGCGCGGTACTGGTCGGCTGTCACCCACACCGTCTCGGCAAACAGGGCCAGGCCTGACAGCTGGGCAGGGCATCAGGTTAGAGAGGGTACAGCAGCTGGGGCCGCGGGACTCTCCCTGAGCAAGTTCCCCTCCTGAGCCTCCACCGCCCTCTGTAAGGTGGGCATGTCCGAGGGACAAGGACATCGCCTTCTATGAGCAGGGACGGGGCTGGGCAGAGGCCAGAAGGGAAGGGCTGCCCAGCTAGATCCCTGCCCCCCACCCACGCCCCAGCTGCCTGACGCTTCAAGGATACCATGAGATGCCACATGAGAAGCCCAGACCGCATGACTGGAACAGAGGAGACACTCATTTGGTCACCCTGCCTTCCCTCAAACAGTGTTGTTATTCCCGAGCGGGGAATCTGGCCAGAGCCAGAGCAACTACAAATGCATCAACCTTTGGGCGCCTGGGTGGCTCAGTTGGTAAAGCGACTGCCTTTCGGCTCAGGTCATGATCCTGGAGTCCCGGGATCGAGTCCCACATCAGGCTCCCTGCTCAGCAGGGAGTCTGCTTCTCCCTCTGACCCTCTTCCCTCTCGTGCTCTCTATCTCTCATTCTCTCTCTCTCAAATAAATAAAAATCTTAAAAACAAACAAACAAATGCATCAACCCTTTGATCCAGCGATGCTGCTTGCAGAAATCAATCCTACCCGTGCAGGAAAATCACAAACCCACAAGGTCATTCTCCGCACCTCCGTGTCAAAGGCACCACCATGCCGCACAAGGCAGTGCTCTGCAGGGGTGGAAAAGGGCGGGGAGGCTCTCTGAGGACTCACGTGGAGTGGCCTCCAGACTATGGGAGCGGGAGAAACAGGGAAGCACAGAACAGGATCCAGAATGAGCTACATTTGGGACAAAAAGGGAAGAAAATAGGTATATACGTTCCTATTTGTATGTGCTTAAAGAACTTTGGAGAAACTAAAGATCTAGGTACCTATAGGGATGAGAGATGGGGAACAGGGAGAGGGGAAGGCTTCTCAGTGGATACCTTTGACCCCAATCAAGCTAATAGTCATAGGGCACGTAGTGTGTGCGCGCCCCGCGTCAGTCCTAGTAACAGCTTCCTGTGCGATGATCCCTGTTACCCGCTGCAGGGCACTATTCCTGTTAAGGCCAATACAGACAGCAACCACACGTGCCAGACTCTGGTCTGAGCCCATGAATCCAATAACTCATCCTCCCGGCATTCCTATTTTCTCTCCACCTACAGAGGAGAAAACCGAGGCCCAGAGAGGTTACATTGCTGGCCCCAGGTCCCACAGTAGAACGAGGCAGCACTGGGGTTTGAACCCAGGCTGTCTGGCTTCAGAGCCATGTACAGGTATCACATTTTAAAAAATTAACTATTAATGAAATACTATGGTTAGTACTCATCACTATGGGAGTCCTGGGCCCTCAGTCTCCACCCCCAGGCCTGGGCTGTCCCTCCCCACCCACCCACTGGGCTCCCAGCACTGGGGGAGGTCTCACCAGAATAATGATGTTGCCCACCACCAGCAGGCCCATCACAACTGGAGACCCTTTCTCTGCCTCTGTTGCTGCGGATGCCATGGTCCTGCCTGGGACACATGAGCAGGAATGAGGCCAGGCAGAGGCCGGATGGGAGGGCAGCCCCAGCCAGGCCCACCACCCTCCCTCCACACCCCAGCTGCCAAGGGATGCTCCCAGCTCTCTGCTGGGCCCAGACTGGAACTGAACGAATCCTCCCACAACGCTGATGGTGGGCCATCTTACAGAAGAAGGAACCAAGGCTCAGGCAGGGCAGTCACTGGCCAGAGCTCAGCGCTGGGCTCCCTGTACCTCAGAGCTTCCCAATTTCCCCTGCTCATCCAGACCCCCCGAGCCCCCTCCTCACCTTCTCTTTCCGAAGCCTCTGTGGCCAGCTCTTCCCACAGTGGCTCCCTATATATGCCCAGGCCCCTCCTTGAGCCAGTCCCCAGGAAGGGGGAAGGGTGTCTGGAGGAAGAAACAAGAGGTCAAGCAGGCCGACCAGCATGGAAGAAGAGTTTTATGAGCACCACCCCCCCCAACCCAAGTGATTTATAGACCTGAAATTCAAGATTGTGCTAATGTCTGGCTGCCTGAGCAGGGTGATGTGCCCCAGGCCTCCAGCTCCCAGGCTGCCGTGGTGGTGGAGGAGGCTGGGGTTGGGAGGGTGAGTGCACCACTTGATCTCTCTCCTTTGGACATGGGCCTTCCTGGGAGCAGGGGAGAGATCCAAGTTGGATCCTCATGTGAATCCTGAATCCCAGAACTGCCTCTTGTGCTGGTGGCTCCACATCTCAGGCTGGGAGCCCAGGGGGAGGTCCAGACAGGGACCCCAGCAGGCTAGGTCAGAGCTGGACCGAGACAAGGAGGTGGGGAGGAGATGAAGGGGCAGGAGGGAGGGCAGCTCAGAAGGCTGATTATATGGGCCATAGGCTGAAGGGAGACAGTGGCTTGAGATGGGTGGGGGAGGGGAGTTCCAGATGAGTGTATGAGGGGGAGATGAAGAGAGTGTGCTAGAAAAAGAGAGAGGGCACATGGAATGGGCTTGGTGGGAGAAAAGTACCCCCCCACCCATGCATACAGACAAAGCAGGGCTACAGTGAGCCATAGGTGGAAATGTCTTCAGGCTGCAGAATCAAAGAGACCGAGGTTGAAATCCCAGTTCTGCCTCCTCTGGGCTGCGTAACTTGGTATGTGCGTTTGCCCATCTGTAGAATGAGTATCATCGGACGACTGGCCCCAGTAGCAGTGGGAACTGAGCGCAGGGATATGTGCAAAGGATGTCCTCTGGCTTGGTGTACAGCAAGAGGCCAGGCGACACCAGCAACGCTCCCGGGGGCCCACTTTTCCTCCGATGGTGCCCCCTAGTGTCACAAGGCTGGTTCCTCAGGTGAAAATGGCTTGGGGCACCCCGTCCTTCCCCAGAACTTCTCAAGAACCAAGGCACTGACTGTATTTTCTCTCTGAGCTGCAGCTCCCTTGGGGCATGTGAAATGGGCAAACAAATGGAACTTAAAATTTCAGTGTTAAGACAATGGCTTGGTAATAAAACACATGAGATGTGTTCCGATTAAAATTAAAATGAGTCATTTGTTTTTTAGCCAATCCACTTTACATTTAAGATAGTTTTTCTCTGTTGATTTACATTTATATTAAGGAGTAATAAGAAAATTTAAATAATAACGTACATGACCTGTCAAGTACATTTTATGAGCTTTAGCTAAAATAACTTGGTAATAATAGGGCCATGCTAACGATATGAAATACTTTTATTTTCAAATAGTTGGTAACTGTTAGTAGTTGGAAGTTATATAAAATGTCTCAGCCTTTTGGCAAGATCAAGTGTAAAATGCCTGGTAAAAGCAAAAAGTTATCATCAATGGGGCATTACTGTCACCAGTCATAAAAGGGATCCATTTTGTTCTAGTGTGATGTTAAAGCCTTTTAAAAAAATTTTTAATAAATTTTACTTATTTGAGAGAGACAGAGAGAGAGAGGGAGAGTACTGAGGGAGTGGGAGAAGCAGGCTTCCTGCTGAGCACGGAGCCCGATGCGGGACTCGATCCCAGGACCCTGAGATCATGACCTGAGCTGAAGGCAGATGATTAGCCAACTGAGCCACCCAGGTGCCCTGTTCTAGTGTGATATCAAACATTAACTTTCACGATTCCTTCTTCTCATTATATAAGCCAGTCTTCAAACAATACATGTTGAAGTGCTAATTACTTCCTCTAAAAAATCACAATGCTGGGGTGCCTGGGTGGCTCAGTCAGTTAGGTGTCCGAATCTTGATTCTGTCTCAGGTCATGATCTTGGGGTCGTGGGGTCGAGCCCCCCACCTACCTGTGTGTGCTCTCTCTCTCTAAAAAAAATTTTTTTTTTAAAAAGTCACAATGCCAAGATCTCCTAAAGAGGACTGTTGCCTATCCACGATTATCCTGTGATCCAGTCATTTGTCCCTGGGAATCCCCCCATTTCTGTCTACCAAATGCTCTGAATGTATTCATATTAGTCCCAAACTGGAAACCACCCAAATGCTCCTTCCCAGTAGAATGGGTAAGTACATTATGGTACATACATACAAGGGATACTATTCAGCAATAAAAGGCAATGAACTATTGGTACTTGCAAGTACAGGGATGAATTAAAAAAAAAAGCATTAAATGAAAAAAGCCACATTCAAAAGACTGTAAATGTATGATTCTAGATATGAAGTTTGAAAACAGGCAAAACCAATCTAGGGAGATAAAAGTCAGGGGAGTTGTTACCCTTGGGAGCATTGTGACTACAGGGACAGGGAGGGGACTTCTCTTTCTTGGTTTGGACACTGGTTACATGGGGTGCTCAGATTGTGACAATTTGTCTAGCTGTACAGTCACCATAAGTGCATTTCTCTGTGAATATGTATATATTCTGAATTACAATGTGTTCCAAAGAGGGTAAAACCTTTTCGAAGAAATATATTCGATGTGTCAAAGGGGTGTTTTCCAAAGGGTGCACAAGAGCTGATTTTAGGCTGTTTATGGACTTGAAATGGTATGAACCTACGTAACTGATATCTAATGGGAGAATGATCTAGTTCTAATCCTCCAATCTCGATGGTGCCATTGAGAAAGGCTCAGTGGTCTGATGCTGTGTCCTAAACACCTCTCTCACCTTGCTTAGAGCAGGTCTCAGCAGGCCTCAGTGTGTGAGTGGAATTGAATAATATATTTTCAAGACAAGACCAGAGATAACTTCATTACTACATTCGGGGCTCATCATCCTCCACAACCTTTGCACTGTCTTCTTCAGATCCCAGGTGTCACCGGCTGAGTTAATTCCATACCCTCAGCTCATTATTCCCCACAAGATATCTCTTGTTTTAAATTTAACTTATTCCCTTATATCCATCCCCATATCTCAATCGCTTTTGGTGCCCTCTACTGGCAAACACTCTAATATGTCCGCATGTATCTTTTTTTATCATTATTATGTTGTGTTAATCACCATACATTACATCATTAGTTTTTTTTTTTTTTTGGTTAAAGATTTTATTTATTTATTTGACAGAGAGACACAGCGAGATAGGGAACACAAGCAGGGGGAATAGGAGAGGGAGAAGCAGGCTTCCCATGGAGCGGGGAACCTGATGCCAGGCTCGATCCCAGGACCCTGGGCTAGTGACCCGAGCGGAAGGGAGATGCTTAACGACTGAGCCACCCAGGTGCTCCTACATCATTAGGTTTTGATGTAGTGTTCCATGATTCATTGTTTGCACATAACACCCAGTGCTCCATGCAGAACGTGTCCTCTTTAATACCCATCACCAGGCTCTCTCTCCCCTCTAGAACTCTGTTTTTCAGAGTCCATAGTCTCTCAT